CTGGATCACGGAGTGCTCTAGGGCATCGGAACTCGCTGTTGCAGCCCTGGAGGGGGACGCTAAATGCGTGCCGCCCAACTGCTAAGAAATACGGCTCTGCAGGCCGATCGTCCCTGGGCACACGGGAAAATAAGGAAGGATGAAAAAACATAGCGGGAACCCACATCATCCCCGACGTCGGTTGTGTGGCCGAGCAGGGCACTTGAGGTACATAGTCGAACGCATATGGATCAGCCTCATACCTGTGCATCGGATTTACTGGTTCGCATCGCTGGTGCGTTCTACCAACGCCATATTGCGTATATCTTGCTGGGCGTCTTCGCTTTGCCTGGGAATCGCTGCGGGAATCTACGGGGATTTCCCTCCATGCAGGTCAGTGGGACCCGGATCATCTCTGGGTCTGGCTCGTCTTTCCACAACGGGGCACTTTCTCTGACGCAATTTTGGTACTTCTTTGCGTATGTTTGGGCATCGTTTTTTTCGGAGAACTGCTGCGCAGAAGGCCTCACGTATTTCTACATCTTGACATCACTGCGAAGCCCTCTTCCTTTTCCGTAGGCAACATTCCGACCATGCCAGAACAAGGCTTCCTGGCTGCCAAGAGCATGAGGGAAGGGACCGGGGGAGGGGACCGTACTTCTTCTTCGCATAGTTGTCGTCGACACAGAACAAACATGTCTCCTATGTACGTGCCCACTGCACTACCCCACTTGCTGAACAATTCGCCTGGGCGCGCCAGCTTGACCGCGACATGGCCTTTTTCTTTTCTTTTTCTTCAGCGGAGCTGATGTGGACACTTGCGAACGCCTCGCGCCACAGTAGCTTGTTTCTTAAATACGCTGTCGCGGGAGACGAATTCAATGTCGGTCTTCGTTCTGGCACCAAGCGCATTTTTACGATGGTATCGCAGAAAGTATTCCACGTCGCAATCGATTCTACCTGCAGCTCGGACGTGACATGTTGCTGGGTCAGGTTCCACATGTGAATGCCTTTTCGTTCTTGTCCGCAAGACAAGGCGCGGCCAATCTATGTTACATTCAAACCGCCGCGTAGTCTCAGTTGGACCCAAGCCGCCGATCAACCCGCAGACGCGCCTCGTCGCCTCGCGATGATGGTCGCGCTCAAGGGAGGGGCAATCATTCCGAAACTCGGCGCGCTAAAGGTGATGCCTCGCCTTGGCTCGCGAACCCTTCGTGCCCGCCGACCTCGGCTAACCCCGCTCTGTCCTCGACCACTCGACGCCTTGCCCTTGCCTTTGGGGCGCTTGCCTGTGCCCTTGCTTGTTTCCCCGTCGCCGTTGTCGCCTTGGATGTCTTGCCCTCGCCCCTCGGCAAGCCCTCGCCTGTGTCCTTGGACTCTGGCTCGCCGTTGCCTTTGGCGCCCTTGTCCCTGCCCTTGTCTTCGCCGTGTTGCTGTTTTTCCCGGACAATGCCGGGGGGCGGGCTGAATTTTTGGCAGGTCGGCAAATGTCGTGTCTGGGCGTGGTTCGACTCCAGAATCAGGTTCTAGCTTCGCATGGCGCAGCTGCGCGCAGGCTGGCTGTTATTTCATATAGCTGTTTCCTTCGCTTTTCTTCGCGAGGGCAATCCTGGAGTCCATGGGCCCCGCCAGGGGGCTGGCTGAGCTCGTGGGGGCTACCTTCTCTTTGCGATTCTTGTCTTCTCGAGTTCGCGCTCTGCTTTGTCTGACCTCTGCTGGCTCTTCTGGGTGACTTTATCATTGATTCTCAGCGGGCAGCGTTGAGGTGGGGAGTCCGCCTGTCATTGTTCAGCCGGCGCCCTCCGTCGCCTTCTATGCCCGAGACGTCGGGCGGACATGCGCGGGGGGCCTCGGCTGCCAGACATCGGGTGACGAATGGCTCTCTCGTTAACTTGGAATGCCAATGTCCCATCTGAGGCATCGCCATCAGAAAGGTGACATCGTTCTGCTTCTTTTTATATGATGCGCGCAGTGTCCTCCTGACCTCGCGCGCTGTCGCGCGGCCGAATTTCGCGGATAAGTTAGCGGCTTCACCGACTTCCATGGTCAAGTATTGGCTTTTCAAACGATGCCGAGAATGGCCGCGCACCCGAAAGACCTTCAATTTCCCTGCGGCCCCCAACTGCGACCGAGAGGTGGGCGCGCGTTCGGGGGTCTTCTAATGGCAGTCGATTGCGGCCAAAGGCTGCGCGCGCTGGATTTGCACCTGCATCTCTGCAGGAGATATGAATGCGTTCGTTTTCAATGCTTCGCGGATCGCCCGGTAGTCGTCTGCCGCGTTGGCGTCGTTGCCTCGGTCCTCGTCTCCGCTGCCGGCTGCCGCGGCGGCCTCGCGCCTCGGGCACCTCTCCTTGTGGCTGTCGGGCTGCCTGGGCTTAGATGGGGGAGTCACTGGGTGTCTCCTCCATCGCTAGCTGTTATCTTCTGCTTCTTCTGCCATGCCAGGAACACGTCGACTGAATGGTCTGATGCGCGTGTTCAAACCGCATGGATGACATTTTGCACAATTCCTTTGATATCGCAGCGGGGATGATCTATGGCGCTGCTGTTGGGGCGCTTGCCCCTTCGCGAAAGCAGGTGCAAACTCGCTCGCCTAACCCTCTTCGGGCCAATGGCTCCAGACCGTGTGTGCGCCTTTTCTGGGTGTCGTCGTGCAGCTGGCAACTGATGGCCGGGGCGTGCAGCGGAGCTCCAGCTGCGTTGCGTCGGCGGGCGAGAGTTACCTCGCCCGCCTCCTAGCGGCGCGGGGGAGCTTGGGCGCTTGGGGGCGCCTGGGAGCGCTGGGAGCTGCGTGGGGGCGTCTGGGGGCCCCAGAGAACCTGCAGGGGCATCTGGGGGGGCTTGGAAGCGCTTGGTGACGCGTGGCGCATGAATTCATGGGAACGTTTGGAAGCGCCCGGGGGCGCCTGGAAGCAGCCGGGGGCCGCTAGTTTTGAGCGCCCGAGAGCGCCCGGGAGCGCCCGGGGTCGCATAGGAACAGCTTGGAGTTTGGGGCGCCCGAAATCTCTTGGGGGTGCTTGAGGGCGTCTGGGAGCGGTGGGGAACCCCGTGGGGCTCGGGGGCGCTGTGGGGCGGCCTGTGTGGGCCTGGGGGCGCGAGGGGGCGCCTGCGTGGGGCCCCCTGGGAATCTGGGGGCGCCCGGGAAAACTTCGAAGCGTCTCGGGGCGCTTGGGGGCGCCTGGGGGCGCCCGGGGGCGCCTGGGGGCACCTGGGAGCGACTGGGGCGCCCAGCGCCGCGATCCTTCGTTGAATGCGTAGCGTCCGCGCGCGCGAGGCAATGGCCCGGGGGCCCCGGGAGCTCCCCCGGGAATCTCCGAAGGGGCCTGGGATGCATCGAGGGGGCACAAGGAGGCAACTGGATCATTCGCGTGGCTTATATATCTTCACATGCAGGCTCCCCGCCGCGCCGCGCGGTGGTCGCGTGGCGGGATGCCGACAGACGCGGCGCAACTGCGATGCCGCCAGAGAAACCGTGTGGAATCTTGAAGAATCATGTGCGCTATGAGATAGCCGGTTGATTCTTGGGCACCCGAGGTATCCTGATGCGGCCTCAAAGAACCCGAGGAAACTAATCCATCGCTTCATGCAGAGCCCCCCCGCGCCACCATTCCACGCGGTGGTCGCGTGGCGGGATGCCGGCAGACGCGGCGCCGCTGCGATGCCGCCAGAAGAACCGCGTGGAATCTGGAAGAATCATGAGAAACCACGAGTGAACCTAATGATGGTCGAGCGCTCGAAGAATCTTTCGGCGGCCTGAAGGGCCCCGGGAAAAACCGCGTAGCAGATCCCCCGCCGCCGATGCGCGCTGGTAACAGCGCGCGGGGCGCGACCGCCGCGCGCGACCATGGCCGACGTTGCAGCGATGCGCAATGTCCATGTCGGGGAGCGAGGCAACGCCGCCCATAACCGCGCAGCGAGAGCCTCCCATCTATTCCTTCGCGGAGGTCGCGTAGCGACCGATGCGCGGAGCGCGCCCCCCCGTGCTCGACGCGCGCGGCATTTTTCCAGTCGCGCCGCTTTCAATGCCCAGGTCGCGGAGCGAGACTCCGCCACCCTTAATCGTGCAGCGACGTGCCTGCTTTGATGACGCAGGCGCGCTTCCTCATTTTTGAACGGCCGCGTGGGGGTGAAAACGAAAACGGAACCGACCCTCGGGCGCAGCCGACGCAGGCGTGGGGGTTGGGGACGCGAACATCGTGGGCGCGTCGCGAGGGCATCCCACCCACCCCGCAATCCTGCTGAGGGGATGGGATGCGTGCGAGCGTTCCGTGCCATCTCTCTCTCTCTCTCGTCCTCTGCCATTGACGGCCTCTCGCGCGTGGCCATGGGGTTCTGCGCCGTCCATGCCGCCGACGGAGCTCGCCGCTGCAGCTGGGCGCGCTGTGCTGGTACGAGGGCGAGTGCCTCGTTCTGCAAGAGGGCTCTCCCTACTTGGGTCCATTGACGGTCTCTCTTCTTCATTCGTCGTCCCGGCCTGGGGGCAACCCCGCGGCTGGCCCTCCTCTCCCTCTGCCCGCTCTCCTCCTCCCTGCCCCTCTCGCTTCCTTCCTTGCTCCCCCTCCCTCATCGTCGTCGCTTCTGGGAGGTCCGACGTTGCGAAAAAAAATGCGGCATCGCCGCACAGGAACCGCGACCAGAGCCCTGGACCCCATCTGTCTGCGGCATCCTTCGAGCTGGACCGATCCGTGATGGTCTCAGATCCCGGAACTAGGCGCAAACGCCCTGTATGAGTACATTGCAGTGCCCAGATGTCAGGATTATCGTTGTTACCGTCGTGGTCGTCGTCGCCGTTGTGGTTGTCATCGTCGTCGTCATTGTCGTCGCCGCCGCCGCCGCCGCCGCCGCCGCCGTCGTCGTCGTCGTCGTCGTCGTCGTCGTCGTCGTCGTCGTCGTCGCCGCCGCAGTCGTCGTTGTCGTCGCCGTCGCCGTCGTCGTCGTCGTCGTCGCCGTCGTCGTCGGCGTCGTCTTCGTCGTCGTCGTCGTCGTCGTCGCTGTCGTCGTTGCCGCCCTTGCCGGCGGGCCTCTGGGCCCCGCGGGGAAGTCGCCCTCGGGCGCGGCTGGACGTCCACAGCCGCCTGCTGGGCGCGCTGGTAGCCTCGGTGGACGGGCCAGTGGTCCTGACGAGGGCGGGGGCTCGTTCCTCCTGACCGCCGCGGCCGCCTACGTCGTCGTCGTCGTCGTCGTCGTTGGCGGCATCGCGGTCGCCGTTGTCGCCGCCGTCTTCGTCGTCGTCGTCGTCGTCGTCAATATCAGGGGGAGGGGAACGACGAAGGGGACGAGGGATGAGGGAGGATGGGCGAGGAGGAGGGGGCAGGACGGAGGAGGGAGGGAGGGAGGGAGGGAGGTAAAGAAGAAGAGAGGGATGATGAGGATGAGGAGGATGAGGAGGAGGAAGAGGAGGAGCTTGCTTGATTGCTTGCTCACGGCTGTGGGACGATGAGTCAAATGAGTACTATCGCTCTTGGCAAAACAGGGCAGGCAACAACTGCAGCTCTCATGCCCGAGAGACCGAGTGCCGACAACGGGACCGAACGAGCAGGACCGAGCAGGAGAAAGGGAGGCCGAGCGACAGGCCAAGGGCCGCGACCGACGAGCGAGGAGGGAGGCGACGAGGAGCGGGGGCAAATATAACTGCGTCCGCCGTCCGCACCGCGAGGTGCGCATCAGTTGCCAGGTGCGCGAGGCTGCACTGCCGTAGCTCGACGGCCACGGCGCTAGGCTCGGCTCCGAAGCTGAACTCTATATTACACAAACCAGCCTTCGAAACTGGGGTCCTCACTCACTGGGGGCCAGAGATCTGGGGCCTCCTATTCCTCGCTGGTGTGATTTTCGTTCTCTATTCTTTCAAGACGTCTATCCACGCTGATACTTCGTCCTCTAGGTAGCCCGACGGGGCCGATCCGACCGTGACCGTGGCGCCCATCGCGCGGAAGCTCCCGAAGATCCTCATCTGTAGGTCCGTGCGGTCGAGGGCGTACGCTATCTTGAGCGTGTCGGGCTGCTTGCACCCTTCGAGTTTGCACAGCCTCACATATGTGGGTGGCTGGTCGTCCATCTCCGCGAGCGTGGCCTGGAGGAACTCTCTGTTCTGGCGGCCGATCTCTTCCTTCGAGAGGGCTTCCAGCATCGAGCAGAACACCGCTGGGGCGGGTGGCCCCAAATTGCGTAGGTCCTTCAGGATCTGCTCCGCGTCCAGGTCGTGCTTCCTGGCCGCCGCGGCGTCCGAGTCCTTGTCGTCTTTCGCCTTCTGCTTGATCTTGTTGATATCGGACCTCATATCGTTGGCGATCTGGGCGAAGCTGCTGCTCTCCGTCTGCATAGCCTTGACGACTGCCACGCTCTCCTCCAGCAGCACCGCGCGTGCTGTAATGCCCCACATCGCCCTCGACCGTTGTGCCAACTGTGCCACCAGCATCGTAGGGTGGAGGATGAGCTCCTTGAGCCCGCTGTCCTTCGTCGTGATCTTGCGCTCCTTGGCCTCGGCCCTCCTGCGGCCCCCTCGGCGGATGCGAGGCCGCTGCGCCGTGCCCTCGGTGCCCGCCGTCCCCCGAGCCACTCGCCCCCCCTCGGCCTTCTGGGTCTTGCGGCCCGCGTCCTCGCCTAAGCTGGACTCGCCGCCACCTGTCTTCGAGTTGGCCGAGGAGGCGCGGGGTCGCCAGCTGCCTCCCGTCTTCTCGACGTCCATCGCCCCCCCGACGAGCTGGCCATGCTCTCCTCGATGCTCGCGCAGGGGGCCAGCAGCTCGTGGTATCAGGAGGCCTTCCTGCGTGCGAATGTCCGATCCCCTCAAGCGTGTCGGTGCTGGCTGCGAATGGCGGCGCCTCTGGTTCGGAGCTGACTTCAGTGGTCGCGGGAGCACAATGGATATGGAGCGCCCCTCCTGCGTCGGTGGCAGGTGTGAGCACAGGTGGCTCGGAGGAGCTCGGAGGAGGAGGAGGAGGAGGAAGAGGAGGAGGAGGAGAGGAGCAGGAGAAGGAGGAGAAGGTGGAGGAGGAGGAGGAGGAGAAAGAGGATGAGGATGGTGATTGTCACCGCGACGATGATGACGATGACGATGACGATGACGATGACGATGATGATGATGATGCTGCTGCTGCTGATGATGATGATGATGATGATGGTGATGGTGATGGTGATGATGATGAATATGGTGGTGATGGTGATGGAGATGGTGATGATGATGATGATTCTGATGATGATGACGACGATGGTGGTGATAATGATACTGGTGATGGTGATGATGAGGGTGGTGGTGATGGTTCTTGCTACTGACATGGTGATGATGATGATGATGATGATGATGCTGATGATGATGATGATGATGCTGATGCTGATGCTGATGCTGATGATGATGATGATTCTGATTCTAATTCTGATGATGATGCTGATGATGATGGTGATGATGGCGGTGGTGGTGATGATGGTGATGTCCTCCTCCTCTTACTTCTCGTCCCACTCCTCGTCCACGGGGGGTCGTGGGGGATCTTGAGGTTCGTCTCTTGGGCCTCCCGAGAAGGGCGCTCCGCGCTCGTCGCACAGACCGGATGCGCCTCGAGGTCCTGGATCTGAGCGCGCTCTTCAGGACAGGCGCGGGGGGCAGACTCTCCAGACGCGGGCCTCCTCCTCGTGCCGGCACGGTCCCGCTCACGCCAGGTGCACAGTCCGCTCTCCTCGAGGCGCCAGGCAGCTCTGCACTGCAAGACCTTGAGATCTTGGCGTCGCATTTTTTCGCAACGGGCGATTTCGCCCTGATTTTTGAGCCCCAGGACCCCCGCAGACCGATCGCGACGTCGGATCTCAGGGGAGCTGGGCTGCCCAGCAACGGCTACGTATCCAGAAAAGGTTCAGCCTCGTGGCCAGCCACACAGGCAGGGTACGTACAAGAGCATGTGAGGGCAGACAGCGACGCCAGAGGTGCGGCCCAGAGAGGAGGGAACGAGCAGGCAGACCTACCCGCGGCAGGTTCGTGTCATGACGACCCTGGTGTTGGTTTCTGACACCGTGCGGACCGTCCAATCTTGAGCGATCTGCGGCTTTTCGATCGCCAGATTGTTCCCAAATGCCTTGAGGTCGTGATCATTTCACAACGGCGACCCCCTGAGGTCTAGACCCCTTCCCGAAGATCGGCTTTTCATCCCGAGTCGTTTGAAGGTCCAGGGGCCTGGCGAGGGCCCTCAAAGGCCGAAGTTTGCCACCAACCACCCGTTTTTTTTTTTGTTGTTGTTTTTTTGTTTTTTTCTTTCTTCTTTTTCTCACACCGGCCAATTCTGGGCGGCCGGCGGCGTTCAACCTTGAACGCCGGCGGCGGGTCGCTACCGCGTCGATGCGGCGCGAGCCTGCCTGGGCCATCCTTCCCCTCCGGGCAGGGGTTCGAGGGCCACGGGCTCCGAGGCCCTTTCCAGACAGCCCAGCTCCGCGCCGCTTCCTCCTCCTCCTCCTCCTCCTCCACCTCCTCCTCTCCTCCTCCTCCTCCTCCTCCTCCACCTCCTCCCTCCTCCTCCTCCTCCTCCTCCTCCCCCTCCTCCTCCTCCTCCTCCACCTGCTCCTCCTCCTCTTCCTCCTCCTTCCTCCTCTTCCACTTCCTCCTCCTCCTTCATCTCCTGGCTCGGCGTGAAGAGTCAACCAGAGCCAGGAGCAGAAGGACCCTGGAGCCACTGATTCTTGCTGAGATCTTGGGCCACCTAGCTTTAGGCCCGTCCCCAACCTCCTCCTCCTCCCCCTCCCCCTCTTCCTCTTCCTCCTCCTCCTCCTTCATCTCCTGGCTCGGGGTGAAGAGTCAACCAGAAGGACCCTGGAGCCACTGATTTTGCTGAGATCTTGGGCCACCTAGCTTTAGGCCCGTCCCCAACAACCTCCTTTTCCTCCTTTCCTTCCTCCTCCTCCTCCTCTCCTCTCCTCCTCCTCCTCCTCCTCCTCTCCTCCTCCTCCTCCTCCTCTGCCTCCTTCTCCTCCTCCCCCTCCTCCATCCTCCACCTCCGCCTCCTCCTCCTCCTCCTCCTCCTCCTCCTATGTTTGACGCTGTGACGTAGCCCGACCGGCGCCTGCACCTGCTTCGGCTTGCTTGCTCACTCAACCTTCGCCAGCGTAGGCCTGCGAGGGCTGCCGCGTCTTAGCGCGCGTGCTGGAGACTATCCAGACGAGGGGGCCAAACATTTGCAGGCGTGAGCACCGCAAGGCAAGTGGGACCAACGACGGGGAGCTCCCTATGGGGCCAAAAGCGTGTGATGTGTGTGCCGGAATGAAGCTGCGCCGCCACGCGATCGCTGGTATTTGGGCCTTAGTTGAGGCTCCCCATGGGGCCACGAAACATGAGAGTGGCGTGCCGAAGTGAGGCGGCACCGCCATGCGAATGTTGGCATTTGAGCCTTAGTTGGGTTCCCTTTGGGACTACAAAACGTGTGAGGGGTGTACCGAAATGAGGCGGCGCCGCCATGCGCACGCTGGTATTTGGGCCTTAGTTGAGGTTCTCTGTGGGGTCACGACGCGTGCGAGCAGTGTGCCGAAGTGTGGGGCCACGAAGAGTTTAAGGGATGTGCCGAGGAGGCAGCGCTGCCATGCGAACGCTTGCATTCGGGCCTTAATTCGGGCTCCTAATGGGGCCACGAAATGTGTGAGGGGCGACGCCACCATGCGGACGCTGACAATTGGGCCTTGGTTGGAGCTCCCTGTGGGGCCACGAAGCGTGTGAGTGGTGTACCGAAAGGAGGCGGCGCCGCCATGCGAACGCTGGCCTTTGGGCCTTAGTTGGGGATCCCTGTAGGGCCACGGAACTTGCGAAGGGCGTGCCGAAATGAAGCGGCGCCGCCATGCGAACACTTGAGTTTGGGCCTTAGCTGGAGCTCCCTGCGGGGCCACGAAATGTGTAATGGATGTGCCGAAATCAGGCGGCGCTGCCATGCGAACGCATTTGGGCTTTAGTTTTGTCTAGGGCCACGAAACGTGCGAGGAGTGTGCCGAAATTGGGCGGCGCCGCCATGCGAACGTTGGCATTTGGGCCATAGTTGGGGCTTCCTGTAGGGCCACGAAACGTGTGAGCGGTGTGCCGAAATGAAACGGCACCGTCATGCGGACGCTTACATTTAGGCCTGAGTTTGGGCCCCCCCCTATGGGGCTACGAGACGTGTGAGGAGTGTGCCGATATGGTTGACATGGGGAGGGAGGAGGGGGAGAAGCAGGTGCAGGTACACAGGCCTCCACGTGTGGCCGCTCAATTGCTGGGACTACGATCGTCGTCGTCGTCGTCGTCGTCGTCGTCGTCGTCGTCGTCGTCGACGTCGTCGTCGTCGTCGTCGTCGCAGGTGCAGGTACACAAGTGTCGAGCGGCCCGGCCGCACCTGGGACAACGTATTCTCCACCTTATCTTCACCCCCCTCCTCTCGACCCCACCCCATCCCATGATCTTAGTGGTGTTGTTGGGGCTCTGTCTTCTTCGGGCCTTCGGGGTGAGGGATCAAGGATGGGGAGGAGGAGGGAGGAGGTACGGCTGACCCATGCCTCAACTGGGGGCGCCCCCTCTTGAGCCTTCGGTGGGGATAGGTTCGCTGGCTTTGGTGTTGCGTCTCTGGGTCGGGGCTCTGGTGGACCTATTTCCTGTCTCATTTCTTCGTTCGGGGGCGGGAGTGTACAACCCACCTCGTCCAACAACCTATCAGGGGCGGTTGGGTCTCCAGACCTTTCCCCTGAGGGTGGACGGGGAGGTAGGACGGCGACGCCCTTGGTCGAGGCGCACCGTCAATTGGGGGCGCACATGTCGTTCGGCGGTGGTCTCGGCCATGGTCGGGCGGGGTGTGCGGTCCCGGGAGGCCTCTGTCGCTCGGCGGTGGCTTCGGCCATGGTCGGGCGGGGTGGGCACCCTGACATGACCCATCGACACCAGAAGGTGGTCATCGGAGCCTACAGAGTAATGCTTGTGAGGAGGTCGGGCAAAGAAAACACGCATGACGACGAGCTCTGGCTCTTCCCGGGTCGGCTTGCACATTGTGTGGCTGCGCTGCCAGTGTTCGTGTTTCTACACGGCACTCTGCCAAACGGCGGGTTCCCCCGACCGTTCGGGGGCGGCCTCGTGGTGGGTTCGGCCATCCGCATCTGCCAGGCCACCGGGTTCCCCCGAGTGGCCGCCGCCCCCGGGGCCCCTCGCAGCCGGGGCCGTGCTTGCCGGGTTTGGGCTCGTGCTTTTGGGGCGTTTCGTCGTGCGTGGAAGACTTGGGGTAGGTGTGGCGTGGGCGTCTGTTTTCACCAGGCGACACCGGAAGCTGTTCTTGTGCTTCTGGGTCTTCGGCTTGGGTGGTTCCAAAGGGGTCGGCTTGTCTAAATGCACCAAGTTGGCGCTCTGCGCCACCGCTGGTGCGGCCACCTTCTTGGGGCCACTGTGTTGTTTTTGAATACTTCCATGGTGGTGTCGCAGAGTGATGCCAGAGTCGTGGTTATGGGCCCCGGGTCTCTCCTCCTGTCAGGCCCCCTGCCCCGCTTTTGTCGCCCCCCCCCCCTTCCTCTCCCTTCTCCCTCTTTCCTCTTCCTCCCCCCCCTCCCCTCCTCTCCCCCCTCTACAATTATTACACAATATGAAAATACTCTCCCACTTCCCCTGATGGCGTCCGGAAGATATTCGGCACCCCCCCGCGTACTGTTTTTTTACACACAGGATTCCCCGGAGTTGGGTTTTCGCTTGTGTTTTTTTCAAAAATGCTGCTCTCGCTGAGGCGCCGGCCTCATTTCTGCTCCCGAATCGTTCCGAATCGTGCTCCCGCTGCAGCGTGGGCCTCATTTTCGGATCGGTGTTTGGCCTCCGTCGTTCAGGATGGCGTTCTCGCCCCAGCGCGGGCCTCTTTCTCGCGCGCCCATCCGCCCGCCACCACCGCGCCGCCACCATCACCAGCACCAGCACCAGCACCAGCACCAGCACCAGCACCAGCACCAGCACCAGCACCAGCACCAGCACCAGCACCAGCACCAGCACCAGCACCAGCACCAGCACCCAGCACCAGCACCAGCACCACCACAACCACGCACACACGCACGCACGCACGCACGCACGCGCACCACCACCCACTACGCACGCGCGCGCGGAGCCACAGGTCCGCTACGACACGCGTCCGCGGATAGAGAAAATCAGCGCCATGGTAAGGGATGGGAGGGAGGGGTAGGACGTCAGATATGACGCGAGCGCACCTAGCTTGTCCTCTCCCCTCCCTCCCCCCCCTTCCCCCTTGCCCTTCCTTCTCCCCGCCTTCCCTTCTGGAGGGCGCCAAAATTCGGGCGGGGGGCCTGACGGGTGTGCTTTCCGCGCCCCTCCTTGCGTTTCCCCAGGTTGTTCATAGACTACCGACCGGATCCGGGGGCCGCTAGCGGCTGTCAACCCGTATGACGTGGACGTGGACGTGGAGGGGGAGGAGGGAGGAGGAGTGAGGAATGAGGAGCGCTGTCTTTCCAAAGGGAGGACCCAATACCACAGGACGGTTGCCAAATAAGGCAAGCGCATTCGTGAGCACGAGCTGATCAGACGAGCAGTACGCGAACAACAGGAGCTAGGCGGGCAAAGAAAGGCGTGAAGTGGAGACGCCCGCAAGTGTAGATGAGCGCACAACGGCATGGCTCACCAATGCCCCCACCACCTCACCACAAGCCGCTCACTGCCCCTCCTCCACCTCCTCCTCGTGCTCCTCCCTTCTCCTGCTCCGCCTCCTGCCCCGCCTCCTCCCAGACACAATCCTGACGTCCAGTCGTGGCCACAAGTCGCTCCCAGGAGCCCCAAGAGGGGGGAAAACATCAAGATCTCTCTTCAGCTCCTTCAGTGCATTCAGAACGGATAAAGCAAGCGGACCAGACCACACCGCCCCCTAACAGCTCCAGGAAGGTGAGGTTCTCGCTCCAAACGCTGACAGGGGTGCTGGCGTCTGTGGGAGCCTGCGGGACAGTGCACGGGGAGGGGGCGAAACAACCAACATCGAATCGGATCGGATCGGAACATGCATCAAAGCCGGCCGCATCGGCACGGAGCCGGACTCACATCGAGCCGAATCGGCTGCGCCAAGATGCACAAGAGCGTCATGCAAACATCGGGCCGCATTGGATCACCAAGACATCGAGATCGAATCGGATCGGGCCAGCTGGAATCGATACCGAATCGGATCGATCGGATCGAAATGGACCCTGGAAGGAAGGAGGCGAGAGAGGGATGGGGAAGAGGGAGGAGGAGGAATGGGGGCAACCTTTTGACGTTTTTGGGACCTCTGGTGGCCATGGCCGAACGCCGCTCGAACAACTGGCCTGGGCAGTGCCCCGAAGGCGTTTAGAGACTCATTCTGAGAGAAGTGGAGGGGGGCGAAGAACACCATCATGTTTCCGCAGCAACATCCCAAAGTTTCTATGCTGTCGCTGCTAGTTCGCGCGCGTGCCGTTCACATCACGGACCAAGCGCGAAGCTGATCCGCAGCCTCAATCGAGAGGGGTGAAGGCCGATGCTGCACTATGCAGCGCTGTACCGCCCAGGCCGAAGCAGCGGCCAGAAGCACCGTCGCACACTCCATACCAGCGAAACACATTAACATCTTGGCAATTTCGGAACGTTCCTTCGGAGATAATTGGACATTCTGGGGGTCTCCCGGAAGTTGTCCAGAAGTTATCTGGGGCTTTTAGGGTGGTGGTGGTGGTGGTGGTGGCCACTGCGTGAGAGAAACAGGTCATGAGCAAAGCAACGCGCACCACGACCTCAACAATGCCGACGACGACGAAGCGCGCTTACGCTCCGCACCGAAGCCCGGGCTTTGGAAAGCGCCCACCACCCTGCGAAGTTCGGTACACAGCAACTCGTTGAGGGGTGCTGCGCCTCCCCCCAGCACGAGCCCGCCCCCCCCCCCTCCCGGATCAACAGCCAGACATCAGGTCAGCTAACCTCGCGCCGCCCCCTCGGACAAGGGTGGCGGCTCACCATCACTGCGCTTACGTGGCCCAAGTAGAGTGGGACCATGCCGTCTTCTTTTTTTTGTTTTTTTCTCCGCGGTCGCTATCTCGCCTGGTCTGCCGCAACACAAGCGCGATACCCCACTCCGAAAATTACCCCTCAAAGCCTCGCGCGGGATGGCCGCAGTTCCCGCCGCCGAAAATCAACCCTCGAGCGCTGAACTTCGCAGGGGACGGCTGCAGTTCCCTCTCGCCCTGCGCCTCAGTCCGCCGGGATGGCCCCGAAGCGCCGTCACGTGAAAAGCTGTCGGGCCGACGCGACACGTCGCGAAAGTGGGCCTGAAGACGGCGGTGACGGCTGCGGCTGCGCAGGCTAAGCAAAAGGACAGGCGGACACGGGACAGGCCGGCCACGCTGTCGGTCTAGGACAGAATCTGTATATATACACAATATGTAAAATCGGAGAAACTGCCGGCGAGACCAGCAGTGTCGATCGATGCGCGGGCCCTCGGCGGGGTCTAGGATTGCCTACGGCTGCGCAGGCGAAGGTGGAGGAGGGGCGAAGGCGGTGTTGAACATGGACACACAGAGAGAGGGAGAGAGAGAGAGAGAGAGAGAGAGAGACAGAGAGACAGAGAGAGAGAGGGTTTCGCGTCCCCACCACCTTACCGTTCGCCACCGACATCTCCTCACACCACCAATGCGGCCGCCTCCTCGATGATTTCTGCCCTCGCCTGGCTGCGAGCATCGTTTCCGCGGCTCAGGACGGTCGGGAATATGTAGCACAGGCTCGGGTCTGGGTCGCTGAGTGAGATCGTGGTCATGTCGGGTGAGAGCTCCGCCTTGAACTGGAAGCTCGGAAGCCCCATGGGTTGGTCTGGAGAGTTTGAGAGCGCGACTGTGTAGCAGTACTCGCTGGACGGGTCACGTAAACACGCGGTGGGCTCCGCCATGTTCGTGAGCTCCCCGTCCGCCAGGACGTACGGGAGCTGCATCACCGCAAAAGGGTTGTAGCTGTAACTCTCTGCGTTCGCAGTCCCGCCGACGGAGGTCACGGTGAGCGACCAATTCCCACTCTGGCCGCTCCCCATCTGGAGCACAGGGAGGTCGCGGGCCAAGTCCTTCTCCAACCAAGTGATGTTGGAACTTTCACCTTCTGCTGCTACAAAAACACCGCCGCCGAAGTTTCGACCCAGCCGGAACTGGTGGGCCTGGCTGTGTGCGTCGATCTGAGAAAACACCTGGAGGTGGATCGGGATCGTTGGATTCCCCTCGCAGTCGGGAGTCGAAAGTAAGCCTGGTAGCTCAAATATGGCATATAGCCTGGCAAATTGCATCCATCGCTCTGCTGTGAAGGTACAGTATGAGGGGTGGATGGGTAAAATAGGATAAGATCGATGTAATGATCTTTCCAGCACATAGCGAACACTCGCGGTGTCCGGGCAAATAGGGCGCGCGTGCCTTGGGCCAAAGGCAACGGCGCGCGAGCTATGCTCCCGATACTGTAACATCTCCCAAAGAGCTACCCTTAAAGTCGGGAGGGGAGGAGACGGAGAGCATAGTCGCACGCAAAGATCGCGCGCACGACTGTTTGCAAAGAAAAGAAAACAGTGCGTACAGTCTGGTCAAACACCAGACTGTAAGGCGAGTTTCCTCGCAAAGTATTTCACGCAAATACAGGACAGCCCCTTCAAACAATGAAGGGCTATCGGCTCAGTTAGAGGTAAGCCAAAATTAGGCCATACCTCACCAAGCAAATGTGTATTAAGGCAAAGAGCCTGAGTTGTACGAAGCCGGCTCGTTGCCAGGCGTGAAATATAAGGCTCGTTTCCGAGCAGCTAAAGGGGCGCCTTTATAGTAGGCGCCCGTGCTGGCAAACTGGACCGCGAGGGCAACAAGGACAGACTAAAATTGATTAGACTTAGGTTTGTCTCTGTCCTCGGGACCCCGAAAGGGAACAAATTGCTTCACGTCATACTTAAATGACTGAGTGCCTGACATCACTTCCAGAAGCAGCTCCCGATCGATGCTTCCCTTTGTATGCCCATCTGCGGTCATATCCCTAGTATCACACCATTGCACATTATGTACTATACCTATATCCATGAGCTCACGTATCCAGCTGATATGTCCAAGCAGAGTCCGTTCTGTAGGTATTTTGAGATCCCTGCTTGATAAAGATTTGTAGACGGACTCGGCGTCTATGGTAAGAGAGACTTTGATAGCAAGGCCTCCAACTTCACGCATGTCTCGTAGTTGTCGTGGAGTCAAAGCCCCTGCCTTAAGCTCGTGGAGAGTAATGAGCGTAGGGTAACACTCATCAAGGTTATGTGCGGCTGCAAGTGCCTCCGCAGCATAACTGGACCTCACCTGTAATCGGTGTGATTTGCATAGTCCGTCACAGAGGTGAACGACGGACTTGCCTTGGGGCGAGTTTCCTCGCCGTAGTACGTTGGCCCCGCGTATGCCGTAGCCCTTGGTCTCGTCATCCTCCTCCCCGGTAAGCTTCCGATACCCCGAATCGCTATGGATGTCAACTTCATTCGTCGGCTTCATCCGAGGGAAGGTGATGCGTTTCGGACTGCTGATCAGCTTTCGCGTCACAGCATTCAAACGTCTGACTTGCAAATTGGTGGGCTCTTGAATTTTCTGAAGAGAGACCACATATACCATAAGCCAGATTTGGGTAAGAAGGGCATAGGCGAGGGCTCCTCGCAGGCTGACGAACATGTCGGTAATGAGTTTCGTGGCTTTGGCGTCGGCCGCCGCTCCTGTAAGTTCTGGGTGTGTGATAGGACGTAGTTGTTTAATATACTCGTCCTGGTCCATGATCACATCTCCCTGATCATTCTTAGTGTAGCGAACGGCGCAGTTCGTATATGTGTGCTTGTTGAGCTTGCATTTGCCAAATACCTTTTCGACACGTTGTACATAGTCGTCTATATTTTTCTCTAGACCTGTCATGTTAATATCATCGACATGTTTTGCCGTCAGAAGGTCTTGGCTGAATTCAAATTCAGGATCGTAGCTGGTCGGTGTAAGTCCTATAGCTCGTGTGGTCGTGCGAAGTTTGAGAGAGAACGCTCTTGGAGCGTCCCTAGTACCCGTTCCTGGTTTGAGGCATCCAAGACAGTGTCGACTTTCGTCGTAGGATGAGAAGCCGGGTAAGGTACGAAGTACCTGAGCGCTTCCTGGTGGAAGAGTAAAACAAACCATGCGAGTTTCCTCGCCAGTGGCATGGGCAAGTTCCTCATAGGTCAAACCTTTTAGGAACGCCTTATCGATATCCATGGATGCTAAGATCCACTCTGGATGACATGCCGCTTCACTTGCCAGGAGTCGTTGGGACTGCCTTCGGGCGGTTCCCGAGAATGAGCCTCAGTATCCATAAATCCACGAAGGACCAGTCTGAGACGAATGGTTTTAACGTTCTCGGTACCCATCTTTACGAACTTCCACTTGTATACGTATCTGGATGTCATGATGTTGGAAGCTTTGGATAAATCGTACATCTCAAAGCATCGGTTATCAATCCAGCTTTTGAGCTCAGTATATAAGGCTTCACTAACCTCCTTTGGATGTGCTGCTATGTCGGCTTTGGTCAGTAGATCATCTTCTTTGACAACCACAGCACGTTTAGCAGCAGAGGATACATGAACTCTCATCGTTGCGACCATATCGGTATCGAGCTGTGCAAGTTGAGTCTGATCCAACACTATTTTTGACATTTCTGATGTAAAGCATAGTTCAACGTAAGGACCGTATTCATCACTGTCTAGAGAGTAGCTCTCGTCGGTTGTGTTCGAACAAAGAGATACTAGACAGGACTCACATGATTTCGGCTCGTCTCCGAGCATATCTGATGATGTAAAATCATCTTCGTCCGCAAATGCTGAAACCAAAACACATTGGTCGGGCAGCATAGTTGTTGGGACGCAATAAAGATAATCATCGGTAATCGTCGTAGGATGAAGGTCCATACGTAGCTCGTCGTACCACTCTTCCAGCATCATAGCTTCGATATTGTGTTCCTCATTTTCCTCATAGATTGTCGACAGACGGCCTTCGCTCGGCGATGAAGCATCTGGTGTGTCTGGAGAAGGCCTGTTTCCAGGCGACTCGTGTTCTCCAGACGTGTTGCTTGGATGCTGATATTTAGCCAAATCGTCGTGAAATCCTAAGGAAGGGACACGTGAAGTCAAGCATTGAATAAGTCTGGAGTGAGTGCTACCAGTGATCTGAGAAATGTTTAAGCCAGTGCCCACACATTCGTAATAGTGGAACGCCGGGCTGATGTCGTTGTCATAGTGGATCAGCGTAGACCCGGTGGCGTACTTTACTGCAGGTAGGCTTGACACACTCTTAGCCAATCGAACTGCTACTACATGTTCTACTCGGAAGTAATTTCGTACGAGATACTGTAGTGCTAAGTGTACGCGCGGGTGAAACTTGCTGTCGTCTGACAGATTAAGGTTTCCCTTGTAATCGGGGATATACCCGAAAACTTTGGCAGGTTTCCCTGCGCTGAGGTGTGCCACATAAGCAAGGACGGTTTGCATGGCCATATTATCCATGCCAAGTTCCCGTGTGAGGAGACATTCGATGTATAGTGTGTGACGAGCATCAGGATACATCACAATTACCTCACGAGATCCTGCCTTGACAACAATATGTCCTCTCTCAGGCACATTTCGGATCACCGGGAATGGGCCATTCCAGCCTCCATGGTCGTCCTTGGTGGCAGTAGGTCGGTGGTAGTCGACCAAATCCCCTGATGAGTAGAGGCGAGCACCATCAGGAGTCGTCTTAGCCCTAAGAGCCCGATTTGTCTTGGCCACAGCAGTAGCCTGAGTTATAGCTTCTAGGCTGACTTCCCTTACACGACGTTCTCGTTCGTGTCCTGAAGTCTCGGGTCCCTTGGGGAAGTCAAGGGTATCGAGATCAGGAAGGAAGGAGGGCTGACGTCCTGTGTGTGCCTGATATGGCGATACTCCGTTATAAAACGTAAACGCATTAGTAACGAAGATGCCTTCCGCCAATACTCTAGTGAATACAACAGGGATGTTGTGTCTATTCAATTCTTCCTCAATCATGTGGAGACGCCTCTGAGAATGCCGTTTCGTGACTCAATTGAAGTCGCGTGTTGGCCAGGTGCTCGGATACGAAGTTCCGTGCCCTTATTGGCCATCATGGTTTTAGCGGCATCGTTATTCAGGGCGCCTTCTCCGTCTGAGTATAAAACTTTGAAGGGTCCGTGATAGGCAATCCAGCAATAGTGGTAGGCGTCGATGATAGTGTCACGTTCTCTGTCGGAAATTTCTAGGCCTGCTGCCAGGCGAATACAACGATCCATAATATGAAATATGGTCCGTTTCTTGTAAAACATGAGGTCCATTTCCCCTTCATCGAGCCAGTTACCAGGAAGGCTCACCGATGGTAGTGTTGAGTTTCCTGGACGTTCCCATGCTCTACATTCCCGACAGGTATCGCAGACTTCCTTGATCATGTTCAGTCGAACGTTATCAAGCCCCACCTTTTCGAGGATTAGCCTCATCTTTGGCTCCTTCGCATGATACCATCGCAGATGCAGTTTTCGGAGTTCCTTTTTCACGACATGAGGTTCGTGACTACGGAGACTCTGTAGACTGTGCTGGATGTCAAATCTCGTCCAGTCGGGTAGTCGTGGAGCCCCAGAGCCGGTGGAGGCAAGAGGGTTCCTTGTAGCTCTCCGTAGTTGGTCCCCTGTGTTAACTGCGTCTGGAGGTGGTGGTACGCCTTGTAGACGGCCGCGGCGGGCCGCTACCTGTGGCACTTCGCTAGAAGACGCAGAAGGCGTGTTTCCACGCTCGGGGGCGTCTCGTAGCATGTCGTAGCTGCTGGCACCGGATGTCGGATCGACGTTGCCGAAGGATCGTGGTCGTGGTGGCCTGGCATGTGCGCCTTGACGGCCACCTGAAGCTGAAGCTTGGCCCTCACCAGGTTTAGGTAAGGGTTTCCACCAAGCTGGCACAGTTTTGCCTTCGGGGTCGTGGTCGTCTGGTAGTTTAAATGGTTCAGCAAAACGACATTTACCAGGTTCGGTATCGAGGTGGTTCTTAACACCCTTGCTTCTCGTAAGATCCCTCTGACATGCTGGACATGGCCAATATACAGAGATGGAATCATGTATTTACACTGCGTAGGGTCTCTGTTATGGCTCGGACTGTCCTTTCGGACATTGTCGATGCATGCCGGGCAAGTAGCCACCTTTGGGATGATACGATCACCGATGCGTCTCATACCTTCGCCTGGTTCAGCTTGATCGGGAAGGTCTGTAGGATAAGCATGTGCGGTACTTATAGGCGCGTTTCCGCGCGTGGTGTCAATGGCTTTCGCCAGATATACAGCTTCCACGAAGGCAGACTGCAGTCGTCGGGTGTATTTTTGTGCCAGTGAAAGCTCGATATTGCACGGTTGTGCGTGCACATGCTGACCGTTACACTTGAGTCGCTCAAAGGGTTTAAGAATTGTCTCGTCGTTGCTGGTGATATTTGTC